TGGTTGGTGGTTGTGCAGGACAGATCAGCTCATCTTCAGCTTTTATCTCGGAAGCTGTGGCTTTTAGGAAGGCGATGGATTTGGTGAAGAATTTTCAGTCTGGCAAGGTGTGTGATTGAAACTGATTGTGCTGTGTTATATAATTGTTTGGTTAGTGATTCTGCAAGTCATTTTGATTGGAAATGTCGGTTGGTTGTTGAGGATGCGCTTGTGGCTCTGAAATCATTGTCAAATGTTGGTGGTTTATTGAAAGGTCGGTGAATGAATCTACTAATTGGTTAGCAGAAAGTAGCTTAACGAGATTGTGTCCTGTAGATTGGGTTGAAAGGCCACCAGCCTCTCTTGCTCGGGCTCTGCGAAGGGATTTTGCTCAAGCTCTTGGCACGCCTGATGTGTTGTTTTGCAAGAAGGGTTTTGGTTGATTGTCGTCTACTGTGTTGCTATCTTGCTGGTCTTTTCCTAGTTTTACTTCCTTGATCTGTTCTGTTTTGATTTTGTTTTTGTTTTTTTTTTTAAAGGATTTTTACATGTTAGCTTGTATTAATAGATTTTTTTGAATGCCTTCTTTTGTCATGTAATATTTTTTTAAGGGAGGATTACATTCAACTCTCATATAAAAACATTAATTATTTTAAGATTCTGACAATTGAATTAAGGGAATTCGCAATATTTTTTTAATGATTAATAAAATTAGCCTTTTTTAGTTTAAAAAAAAAGTAAAAGGAAAACATCAAAGCGATGGAAGGGACCTCATCTTTTGGGGGGAAAAATAATTTTAATTACTGTCTATTCCACAATAAAAGTAATTGGTGGCTATTTTTCAAACGTGATAGTTTTTATATTGCAATGATTATTGTGTAGATATTTTGTTGCCAAAACTTTTTTATATAGGGCTTATGCTCATTATTGGTTGATGGGTACTCCTTTTTTTTATTTTTTTGGGCCAAAGGATGGGTACGCCCTTTGTCCCCCAGACAACATATTCCCAATTATTTCACCGGAACCAATAACTGAAGACATGCGTTTTTAATTTCATCCATACGTGATAAAATTTTTTAAATTCACATTATTTTTTTAATAGTTAATAAATGTAAATAAGAATAATACCATTAAAACATATTTAATACCACATAGTTAGCCTTATATTAAGAACAAAAGAATATTTTAAGAAAACACCTTATAATTTGATCAATATTTGTATTGTTGATATTTTCTCAAGTGATTATTATTGTTCATTATTTATCTTCCCCTTTAATTAATGGGGTTTTTTACCTTTTTGAGTCACATGTATGTATTTAGATAGATACATTGGATCCCCTCCCTGTTGATGGCTAGCCGACTTTGATGAGAAAAGAACCAAAAACAAAAAACAAAAAAACAAAAGGATAGATACATTGGATAATAGATGGAATAACCGGTCATTTTTGGCCAAAAAAAGGGAGCCTCTTAATCTTTCATCTACTCTTTGTGAAAAGATTCTAAATTTTTGGAAAAATTAGTCAAAGAGACGTGATTAGAACTACAATTGATCCCAAGGACTAAAGATACTTGAAAAACCAAGCTTAATATTTTATTCATTTAACAATATTATCATTTGACCAAAATGCCCCTTGTTTTAAACAAAGAAATTTGAAAAAGAAAATCACCCTTTCTTCTTCCTTTCCCCACACAATTCATAAAGTCATAAGAGTTCAGAATATTGTGCAACGGTCGATAGTGTAGGACAAATTTAACAGAGGAGCAATGACGATTTAAAATATGGGTGAGTTGTAGGTGATAAGTTTTAAGAAAGACAACCCCATTAGAGCATACATAAGACACCTTATATCAAAAAATATATCATGGGGTAAGAACAATATTATGTCTATATTAAACTATATCTTACCCTATAAAAAAACAAATAAGAGAGATGACTATAAATATACTTCAAAATATAATCACATTTTCGTCCAATCATTTAGAGAAATTCCTTAATCAGCATTTCCTTACAATTCACTTAAGTTATGAGATGCATGTCAAAATTTCTTGACTTAAACTTATTTTTTCTTCATCTTTAAAAAAATCTTATACTTTGGAGTGTCTAAAACATTATACTTGAAATGAAAATTAGTAGTCATCACAAGTGAAACATTTAAACATTAATACACAATATCTACAAAATTATAACTAGCTTCTTGGGCAATACAAATCCAACATCACTTTTTTTTTTATGGCCCCTAAAAGAGTTAGTAAAAATTTAATTCCCTACCAAAAGAATGAATGCTATACAATAATTTTTTAGCTCATATTAACATAGATAGATTCATAATTAACTAAAGCATGAGCTTTAACCACATCAAAGAATCAACTATGAATTTGAAACATCATATAGGCCGTGACAGCAGGGAGACTTAGAGCAATATTTCTTAAAGCATCATCCTTAAAAGCCTTTTACAAATTAGCAATAAATGATGCTTGCTTGCTTATAATAAAATAAGACACTTAAGATACGGCTAACCATAAAAAAGTGTAAGACTTCAACATCCCCATGGCAAACACTCTTAATAATAAAACCAAGATCAAGAGCCAAGGCAAGGTAGTGACAACTGACAAAGGAACAAACTACCCTCCTAAGTATTTTTTAAATCTATTAGGAGACCTTAAAAATGATTATTAAAGACAAAATTTGCTCGAGCATCATGGTTTTCCTAGCTAGATGTTTGTTATACACATCTTGACTATTACAAACAACATTACATATAGTGCAAACCCTTATTGAATCAACTACTGCACTATTAGTCACAAGTTCCTGTTTCTTAAACTCCAACTCTTTTCTCATAGCACAAATAAATCTTGTTCTTGGAATTGCTCATTTTACTTTGTAAACTTGCATGAGAGATTCTTGGTATTATTGTATTAGTGGGATTATTCAGCAACTACAACTTATTCTCATGCTTCTTCCCTGACATATGCTTCTCAAAAACATATTTGCTAATGCCATGAGGTTTGCAAACCTCACATTGCATTAGTTTTTTAACTTTGGTTTTGTTTGGCACAGGAAACACAACTAAGGTAACATTAGGGAAAAGTTGATGTGCTATCATTCCACACAGAAGGGAAACTTTTACGAACATGGCTAAAGTTTCAAGAGAAGCTTTGGCAAACCGCATATCACAAGAATTATAATCCAAGATAACAGTTTAAATTTAAAACTACTCATAAAATTGATAAAAAGGAATAAGAAAAGGTCAAATCTATATACCATGTGAGTTAAGAGGAACTTCAACACTCAAGATATTTTTTTTCTTTTCTTGACAGAAAAGATTGTATTGATGAAAAAAAGAAAGAAAGAAAGCAGTGCACTAATATTATATGTAAAACAAGAAGGAAAAAAATGAAACTCCCTAAAAAAGAATTTTGATGAAACCTAAGGGGAGGCCTTGAAAACACTTCCCCCCAAAGAAACTTATGATAAAAAAATACACATTCTATTCTAGCGATAAAAACTTGACAAAAATATTAGACATGGACCTTTGGAGTCTAGATTTGTAATGACAATGAACTTCTCCAATAGGGCATCGATGACGACAGGCTTTTTTGGCGAGGTTTGTGGCTCTAACAATGATGTGTTGTCTGTTGTAGGCGGAGGACGTCATTGATGGAGAGAGGGTGGGGTGAAAGAGCTAAAGTTATAAGGGCATTTTGATCAACTGAACATGTCATTTTATGAATACAAAATTAAATTTGGCCCTTAAATTTGGTTTGCTCATTGGGAATAATTTGTGTTTCAATTAAGTTGTATTATCAAATTTTGCTAAATTTTTTGCTCGCTTTTTTCTTAGGATGCAATTTCTCTCTCAGCCCTCCCCCTCTCTCAAATTTAAATTCCTTAGGGTAGCATCTGGATTAATGAATTTAAATTTAAATTTTAAATTTAAAATCTCACATTTAAAATTCATATATTTAAAATTTTTAGTTTAGATAGTGCAAAAAAAGTTAAGTTAAAGCGATATGAGTTAAAATTCAAAACAAAAATGAAAGATAGAGGTGATGAGTTTACTTCTATTCTTTAATTGATGAGATATGAGAACAAAAAATTATAAAAGTGGCTAGACTGATGGAGACATCGATGGTGGAAACACAAGGATTTAAATATGTGAAATCTCAAATAATTAAAATAAAAAGTGAAATTTGAAATATAAAGAAGTTATACTAAAATATGGATTTGTATTTAGATTTATCCAAATCTAAAGATATTTACATATTCAAATAGAATATTTGGTTCACATCTAAAGTTCTTTACATCTAAACGCACCTTATACATTTTCCAAACTCCACTCTAATTAATATAACTTTAATAAAATATTTTTTTTCATAACAAGTAACACAAAAATTATTTTCAGTTAACCATAAAAATTATTTTAAATGCTTGCAAAAAATGTCTCTGCATCGCATGGGATACAATCTAGTTGATTACTAAAATATCTGGACAAAGATAATCGTCTTGCTGAACCTTTTCATCGGTGTTACCCTTTTTGGGCCCCGTTGAATCAAATGGCATTCATGTTGCTTACCATTTGACGAGCCCAATGGCATGGCCCCAAATGAAGAATGATCATTCATTGGGCTTGGAGAGACCAACGTCAACGTCTCAATACACTTTGAAAGGAGAAATATTTTGAATTGGATGTGCCACATTATTTATAATTTATATAATTAAAACATTTTAAATAATTTAAATAAAATTTTATATGTCATTTTTAAAATTTATTTTATTTTTATATCATAGTGCATATTTAATTTTTTATTTTTTATTATAATTAATATTAAAATCAATTTAAATTTAATATTATTTAAATATTATATTCTTACTAGATTCAGGTAACCTCATGAATCATGATGACAGACGCGAGGGGCCACTTCGTGCGTAGCCGTTGGCCAACGGAAACCATGCCCGGGCAACCCAATTCAAATGTCTGAACCCGGATTCATGAAAAGTGAAACTCCCGTTTCACGCCCAACTTTCCCTTCTTTTAATTTCATACACAACTTTCGATGCCATAGAATGAATCCCCCTCCTCCTCCTCCTCGTCTCCTCCGGCTACATCGCCTCTGTTTTGACCACTACGTTTCCTGAAAATGGGTTGTTGCATTAGCAAATGCCGGCCCGACCAACATCCCCTTCCTCCACCGGAGTTCAATCATGTCCGGCACAAGCTCGTCGTTCCAATTTCAAACAAAACTCCACCTCCACCTTCTCCACCATCTCCCCCTTCTCCTACCTCTTCCTTCGCTTGCCCCGTTTTTTCTAACACCAGCATCAGCTCCGCTTCTTCCTTGTCCAGTGCGTCTTCTTCATCTGCGTTAACCTCTAGGGACGGGTCATTCTCTAATGACTTCTTGTGGTCCTGTTACAAGGATAACCCCCATATAGTTCGTATCCATTCACTCAAGGAAGCTTCTCTTTCCTCGGTGCCCACTAAAGCTCAGATTAACAAAACAAACCCGTCAAACCCACCGCAGAAGAGTGTCGGGCCTCCCGTGCCGCTGAAGAGAGTGAGGTCGAGCTCCCCGGCTAATCTGGCCAGACAGAAGAGTTTCAGGAAGGAACCGGAGAGGCCTAGTTCTCCGTGCAATGTACCCAGTAGAAAGCTGAGGTCACCCTCGCCGAGCCGTAGATTTAACGGCGGCATTGACAATCTCTCGAAGCGAATAATGAGTCCGAAGGCTAATTACGAAGCCCATTCTCAGTCTGTTTCGTCGTCGATGCGGAGGGAGAAGAGGAGAGCAGCGAGTCCAACGGGTTTGAGGCGGAGAGAGAATTGCGGTTTCAAGATTGAGGAAACGGTGGTGAAAGACGTGGGGTCTAAGCACGAGGTGGAGTCGGGTTTGGGCATGACGGAGGACATTCACAATCCTCTCATTTCCTTGGACTGTTTCATCTTCTTGTAGATAACTGCGAGCATCACGTATTCCGCTGCTGCATATTTCGTACGTGAAGGCAGACAATTATCGTTTTAGGGCTTGCTATTTCTATTCTTTCGGAAAGCAACAGTTTTTTGTTTCAGGGCTTGTTCAGTAATATTTATGGATTAAATTCACGTGGGAGCTTGCTGAAGATTGAATGCGTGCCTGTCGGTTTCTGATATATAATAAATGATACTGATACCAAAGTGGCGTGGTATCATCTTTTGGTGTGGGGATGGATCGTGGAATGCAAATGAATAGAAGCGACTTTGATCCGTGAGGCCCAACTTGCTTCGGAAAACACGTGTTGGTATCATCCTTTCTTTTCGTCAATGACGTAAAATACTTGAACACAACACAAATATTCGGCCTTCTTTTTTAATTTTTTTTATATAAGCCTCTTTTTTGACATGGAAACTAGCATTCAAGCCCGAAAATGGAGTGATATCCTGTCACCAAAGCTCCAGCCTAGATTTTCCACCTTCCCTTTGAGGTTTAAGGTTTATGTCCAATCATGGGTCACACGACCCCGCAGGGAAATTACAAATAAGCCATGGATGGAAAATTAATCATTAATATTTTTTTATGAATTTAACTTATTATTAGTAGGTTTCCTAAAGAATTTGAGCAAAAGTATACCGGATAAATTGTAAATTTTAAGTTCATCTCGTAAATATCGTAAAATTAGTAAGGCAAGTTGGGCCTCACGGATCAAAGTCGCTTCTATTCATTATTAAGATTTAAAACAGGATTTGTAAAATTAATATTTAAAAGCTCATTCATTATTAATTCCATTCCAGAGATATTTTAAGAACAAAGAACAATTTGATATTATTCTTGGGAAAGAATTTTCTTAAAATATAACAAAAATGTTATTATGTACAATTAGAGCTTAATATTGTTTTTTTTTTTGGGACAAAGAATTCCAACACACGAGATTATTAAAAGAAAACAGTCAATTTTTAATATAACGTGCAGTCTATTAGTCCAATGCCCATCGACTCCCACCCCCCTTTTTTTTAAAGAAAGAGGGCAAGTTAAGCGGAGAATGTTTAACAAAAATAAAAAGTCAGGGTCAGACAAAACGTTGATTGCCTAAATACGTATCAAAACACTCGCTAAGTACTCAAGTCACAAAACCATCTTAGGAGGACCTTCTTGATCCGTTTTGGCCATACATTTGATGATACCCCTTCGAGAGTGATGCTGCGTCACGCCCTCATTAAGGGAGAGGGAGTTTCTGATGATACAGGCTATATCGTCTCGCAGGGAGTGATCAAAGGCCTGATCGCGTTTCAGTACATCGATGGCCTCGATAGAATCTGAATATATTTTTATGATTTTTCCTGTTGAAGTTCTGCTGCTGACAGAAAATCACTCCAAGAAATTCAAGATTGACACTGCATGGTACTGTATATCTTTGGAATAGACTCTAAACTACCCTTATATATATATATATATATATATATATAACAAAATTACCGAACGCATCGCAGTCTTCACGCCCTTCTTCATTTTCTTCCAAATCAAATGATAATTATATCATTAGAGTACTCAACATTAATACATATGCACACCCGTACCTTTCTATTTGAATAAATAATTTTTTTTACAAATATAATTCATGTTGCAAGACCAAATCAAACAATTAGTTCAATATTTATTATATTTTACATTATGACTTATTTATTATATTTATCAATGATAAATTTTTTGTAAATTTTTAAATTTTAAATGATAAACTTTTTATATATTAATGTGAATTGGCCACACTTTTAAGTTTTCAAAAATTTGATCCATGTTTTATGGAGATAGGATTTTTTTGGTCAGTAGGCCAATTTATCCTAAATAAAAGTAGGGAAAATGATAATAAAAATTCTTTTAAATTATGCAAATAATAATTTATTTTTTTAAAATGTCATAATACCAATGAAGTTTTTAAGGATCTCTTTGCTAATAACTTTTTTAGAATAAAAATTATTTTATCTTTATTGAAAATATTATAAGACTCAATCACAACTTTCGTTTTTTAAATAATAAGAGTTGAATAAGAAATCACAACTTATCAAATTTAATTTTTATCATTAAAAAATAAGCTCCAATTGTAATTTTTGTCTAAGGAATAATAATTTTTATTTTATAAATTATAAGAATTGAAAAAAAAATTATAATTTATCAAACATAATTTTTATTATTGAAAAATAATTTCTCAAAATAACAAGTTTTATTTACAACTTTTGTTTTAAAAAAATCATAACTTTTCTTCGAAGAACTACAAGAATTGAACAAAAAATTACAACTTGTCACTAACAACAAAATGGTATTTTTTTAAAAAAAGTTATTAACAAAAAGATCCTTTAAAACTTCATTAATATTATGGCATTCTTAGAGATCACGTTATTATTTATATAATTCAAAGAAATTTTATTATCATTTTTCATAAAATTATTTGAATTTGATACAAATTCATATTTTATTATATTTTTTATAATTTTAAATTATCTCTAACCCTCTCATTTTATTTGAAATTCTACATACTTCAATCCTTTCATTTCCTTCATGTTTATACCATCAATGCTTTTGTTGCCACTCTTCTCATCCCTCATTGATTGAAGGATAAAAGTTGATTTGTCACTTTCAAATTTTCATTTTTATTTTCACTATTACAAAATAATTTTATGGAAGCGCTTATTTCTTGTTTTTGAAAATACTTTATAAGCACTCCCATATTTATAAAGTGCTCTTGTAGGTGTCTATATCGAAATAAAGTGCTCCAAATATATGAACTTATAGGCATACAGGAGCGCTGAGGAAAAGAGCATTCTTGAATTCCTCACGTATAGGAGTGCTCACGCTTGAGATGATTACTTAATCTCATTTTTAAATATTTTTTATATGATATTTTTGAGCGCTCATTTATTGAGCGCTTCCAAAAATCTATAGTATAAGAGGGCTTTTATATTTAATAACATTTTTATCATAAACACTTCAACAATGCACTTTGAAAGACAATTTTTATTTGAATCTTAGCTTGTTTTCATTTTTTTCTTTAAAATCTTTACACTATTTAAGCAAAGGATTTAATTGATATTTTTCTAATATTGAAAGCTAGTTACTCATCACAAATAATCAATTATATATTTTGATCACTTTTCAATTACATCTACTTACTCCATAGTGAAATGTGAGGATCTTGCATTGCAAAAAACTATATGAGAAATAAAAGCAACATATAAATAATTGATATTATATTAATTTAATTTTAAAACTCTTGGCTTACATTCTCATGAATAATAAACTCTTGTTGTGTAATTATTTCTCTTATAAACTTTATCACATAATATTTATACTTTTAACCTTATATTTATATAAATACCTATAAAACAATAAAAGATGTTATTATTTAGATATGATATAAAACTTTTTTAGCTCAATTACTAACATTTTAAGGACAAAATTATATATATAATTTTGATTCGCCAGTGAAAATTTGGCGAAGACACCCTTATAAATTAGACATTTCAAAATTTTTAAAAATTATACATCAATTTAGAACATCATATTTAGAATAAAAATTTAAAATATCAATCAGATAATCATTTAAAATTGAAGTATAGTAGAGATTACTTGGAACTGAAGAAGTTAAGATTTAATGATAGAGGGGGTGGGACAATTTTGATCACCCCTTGGATCAAAAACTTTAAGATATGTTAGAATGAGCTTGATGGGCTACATTAAGATTAATATTTTCTCCCAATACAAGCGTTCAATCTTATATTTAAATGTCTGTTTTTTACTTCATAGGAAGATAAGCTTATCAGCATCATCAAAATTCAGGAGCCTATTAGAATAGGCATATATAATAAATATGGGGGAAAAGCAATGCCCAGAGATAGAACTTATTAGCTTATTGCAATAAATTTAGATTGTATTATAAAAGAGACTATATACATCATACATTAACACTGCGCTAAGCACTTCGCATAATTTGCATTCAGCTAATATCTTTAAACCTCAAAAGTAGAACCCCAAGCTAACTAAAACGTATATACTTGAATAGTTGCTGGCATGGGACAGGGTACAGAAAAGCAACTAACAAATTGCTTACCTGACTTTTTTTTTATGCTTCTTGACCCAACTAATAAAATGCTCAATCTTGTCATCTACCTTATTTTCAAGTTCATCTTCTCCACTTTGCACCTGTGCAGGATAAGGTAAAGTCAAAAGGAGAAATAAAAATGGGAACAAAAATATAGGAACATACAAAGAATAAGAAGTTTTTCCAATTGCCGACTGTTTAACACATTAAGAATTGGGGAATTTACAAATGATCGATGAGTATAAGCCACTTACTAGACCCTAAAAAGAAAAATATAGAAAGGAGAACAAGGAACCCCATTTATATAGATCAGAAGGGAAAGCTGCTGGAAATTTAAAAATTAAATATGTAGATCAAATTGTGCCCAAGGATCAAAATGGAGCAACAATAGTGATGAAATACGTGGCAACCTGCTACGGTGATGGGCGATAGGCTGGGGTCGGACAATGACTAACGGTTAGGCTATGGAATTGGCGTCGGACTCCTGCTGCAAAACCAGCTCGTGGAAGCTGAAGCCGTGGTGGCGACGAGCTGCGACTTCGGAGACTGACGACATCTTAATGTATATATGTGATAAACATTATAACATTGTACATTCAATAAAAAATATTGTACTCACTGTCGGCAATACAGGACTCAATGACTCGCCAACGGCGATGCGAGACCCAGCGGTCATGGCATGACTGAAGTGATGGCGTAAGGGGATTCGAGCTGGACAGGTTCGGCACCCAGACTCGATGGTGACGTTATGACAAGCTTCTTGCGACGACGAAGAGGTTCAGAGCAAGATGCACCACTTGTAGCGTGCGATTGAGAGACGGATAGGAGAAGAAAGAAAAGTGAGAATGGAATTTGAATTGCTAGAAGCTGATAAAAATAAAATTTTTATTATTTTAATATGATCTTTAGGAGCACTCATGACTTAAACGCTCCTGAAGAATAAATGACACAAAACAGCACTCCCAAAGCCTCAATTTTTTTTTAAAAATTTTTTTATGTACTTTTCAAGAGCCCTCAAAAATTAAGCACTCTTAAAGAATATAAGGTATGAGAGGGAGTGCTGTAAAAGACTCATAATTTTTTTTTATTTTCTTATAAGCTCTTTAGGAAAGTTGAAGATTTGAACGTTTCTAAAGAATGAACAGAGCGCTTCTAAAATATCCTTTTTTTTAAATTTTTTTATTGAACACTCCTAAAAACTTATATTATCGGAGCACCTTTGTATTTAGTAATGCTTTTATTGTAAGTGCTCTCAACAATACACTTCAAAAGACAATTTTTGTAGTAACGTCTAAATCTTAGTTTGTTTTCATTTTTTTTCTTTTAAAATTTTTACATTATTCAAGCAAATGATTTAATTTTAAATAAATAAATTTTAAATAGAAGATTTTAAATTTAATTTCATTAATTCAGACGCTATCTAAAATAATATATTAATAATTGCTAATATCAAAATATGTTTATCTCATTTAAACATGCCAAACAAGGTATCATCAATTAATATAAGAAAAAAATTAGCTCAATGATTTTAAAAAATATAGTTCTCATAAATTATAAATGAGATTTTTGAATATTTTAAAATATGGCCTATTCATAAAATTAAATTAACTTTTTTGTTCTCAAATTAAATTTATTATTAAAACATAATATATATATTGTAACTAATCTCTAACTGATTGAATCTTTTCTTTTTTTTCTCTGAATATAAAATTACTGATGCCTTTTTTCATTGTAGAGCTTTTATTCTTTTTCACTCTTTGTATTTTTCAAGAATACTATGAAGAATACATTAGATATTGAAGAGGAACCTTCATTTCTAGAAGCAAAATACTAGATTGGAATCTATTATTTGTCATCAAATTTTCACCATCTTCACATCTCTTAGTAACATTAAATTTTTTGCAGATTGTGTTTGATTTATTTTGAACAAATGATTATGTATTTTTTGTGTTGCTAATCTACGATGCTACATCATTGATGTGTGTGTATATATATATATATCAATGATAAATAAGTTCATATTTGATTATTTAGTTATGTTGATTTATGATAGTATATCGGTGATATACAGCAACATATTAATGATGTAGTATCATGAATTAGTAACACAAAAAATATATAATTATCTGCCTAAAACTGATCAAATATAGTCTACAAAAATTTTTAGATTATTACAGAAAGTCAAATATCTAAACTAATAAAATAAAAAAAAATTGATCTTTTAGTTCTCTAACTTTTAATTCACTTGTGACTCAGTCCCCCAACTATGATTCACCTATGACTCAGTCCCTCAACTTTTGAATCACTTACAAATTAGTTCCTAAACTTTTGCTATTTTTTTTCATGTTAGCTTATATCTCACATCAAGGAGCAAAAGGAAGGTATTTTAAAATAATATATGAGTATTTTTTTATCCCTCTTATTTGATAAGAATTTTTTTAAAAAAATTAAAAAATAAGGATTGAATTATAGGTGAATTAAAATTTGAGAGATCGAGTCGTAACGAATTATAGTTGAGAGACTAAATTACAGGTGAATTAAAAGTTGAAAGATTAAAAGATCAATTTTTTCAAAAATAAAAAATCATGAATCTGTAGCTCCATTTTTCCATCGATGTGCTTCGTTCTGTCGAGTACCATCGATGTATCTCACTTCGTGATTGTGACTATAGCTTGCTTACACTACTCTGCTATCTCACGTCCAGTTTCGTCTTCTCTCTTGGATTCTAGAAAAGATCATTTTAAACTATATATCTTACATTTTAATTTTAGAGATTTTTTGCTTTTTAAATCTTCTGGTATTTATAAAAATTAAATATTAAAAGAGCAATTTTTTGTAAATTAATTATAAATTAAATATAAAAAGATCATTTTTAAAATTTAAGAAAGAATAAGTTATTTCTTTTACTTGGTCTTATAATATCTACTATGTGTGTAAAAGCCTCTTAATATAATTTTTATTGCCATTTCTCGTTCCTCTCCATTTTTTTAGAGGGAATGACAAACAAAAACCTCATAACAATATTAATATTAAGTGAGAATCTCTTCATAATTAATGTTTTCAAATTCAATATTCATTTTTCTATGTTTCAATTGTAAAACATCTAAAAAAAATTGCTTTAACATTAATCCTCTTTTGAGGTATTTACTTAGCTTGTCATTCTTCCTTTTTTTTTTTTTAATTTGATTATTCGCTCATCCTGCCGAACTTACGGTGGATCTTATAGACTTACATTGTTACACGTATAGCTGGCACTGATATTAATTCAAATTAATCAGTTGAGGTTTGTTTCCAAAAATCGATCGTCCAAATAAACCTCTATCAAATCTTTCTTCACGCGCGGCATTAATGTCGGAGTCGTTTCAATGGGAATCAGACAAGAGGTTCGACCTATAATGCAATCCCCCGTACACGTACACGTTTCGACCCATGATTTGATCGTAGCACAAAAAGTGACAGCTGAAATGATCGCGGGTGGCTTTAGTTGTTCAATTGATTATGAGTCCCGTACTATTTCTTTTGACGCATCTTTCCATTACAGTAGTTGCAATTGTGCAGATGTCTCCTGCCAACGATTCGTTCAATGACTATACTATACTGGAATGAGGTGCTAGCTTTTATTCAGCATTCAGAACTGGATATACTGGGCTTAGAATCATGTACATGGAAGGCCATTAGCAATTGTGGCCCTCTAATTCGCGGCGGGATACTGAAGAATCGATGAAAAAAAACGTATGTGGCCGATGACACCGGAATAAGGCTCGTGATTAGGGTCACAGATCATGAGCAGCACCGTCAAAGCCAATCCAACCACGATCCAAATGAAAACACAGCAGATAAAACTCCAGGGAAAATGACACTTAGGTAGGGATCATTTTAGGAAGATAATTAATGACGTAGGAGGGCCTCGAGTTTCAAACATGAAGGACGCAAGTCTTCTACTGATTTAACGGAAATGTTGCTATATATGGAACAAATATCTCTCTACTCAATCGGAAATAAAACTATTCGTAAAAGTAACCACTGAAAGTCACCATGTTTCCAATTGTGTACAGGGGCATATTTTTCTAATATCAGGTGAGGAATTTGGTCTTTAATTGTAATTTCCAAAAGTTGAGTTTATTTTCTTGTTATCTCTCTAGAACAGTTCAAAAATATCGTTTTCCTAAATCATGAAGAGGATGTATTGTGAAATGAATGGAATGATGTTTGGATTCAGCATCAGTGAGAAGAAAGCACGACCAATAAGCATGTCGGCCTGCAGTATCAGTCGACGTGGAGTAGTAATGCCCCCATCCTATCAATCCCTTCATCCATTAATTCCCGTTATTTGCTTCAATTCTGCCCCAACATCAAAATTACAAAGAATTTGCTTCATGATTTTGTTGAAGGTGTATGCTGCAACTTCTTCAATTTTTAACTTTAAAGTTTAGTATTTATAAGGAATAAATTAATAAAATTAAGTAATTCATGAGTTATTGATATTTTTTCGAACTATTAATGAGATTATTGTATTATTGAACAGCCTTAAAAGAGGGCTAAGTTATAGTTTGAGTGGACTAGGTATCAAGTGAAGTTTGAAACCTATTATAAGCTTTACTATGCCATCCGCCATGGCGGATGCGCAAAACTTAAGTGTGGCATATGCATTCAAAAACAAAATAAAAGGAAAGAGGAAATAGAAAAAGTGACAGAGAAAAGGCATAAGGTTGCTATGGCTTTACTTTTAGAGCAATTTAGAGTCATTCTAAATTAGCAACACCTTGAGATAAATTTCCTATGCACTCTTCTTCCTCTCTATGTGAAGTTTATGTGAGTGTGGATGTTGTTGGAGGTTAATTTTGGTTTCCCTTAAGTTATAACCATACCCATTAGTTTATTTAAAACTTTAGGGAGTTAAATAAAAAATTTATAAACTTAGGTTATAGAATTTATAGTCATTTGAGTTTTTTGACTAAGGTTTGGATGAATTTTAAGTGAAAATTGAAAGATTGAGAGTATTGTAGGTGAATATTTGATGTTATCTAAGTTTTTAGATGTTAAATGAAATTAATGGATTGTGTTGGAAGTATTAATTGTATTAAAGAGAAAGTTTGGATATAATGGTACCTAACATTAGACTAAAAATGAGGGTTGAATTAGAGTTATTTTTTATAATTAGTATTTAATTTTAAAGATTAAATATTAATTGAGTCCCTTTGAGATAGCAGAATTTAGAAGGGTGATTATTTTGCCACGGTAACCCCTTTTTGTGATAAAATAATTAAAGTAATCAGATAATTTAATTCTTTTACCTATGCATTTGAACATCTATGAGGTTTGTGAAAGTGTATATGCATATATATTTTATTATGAAAATCATGATTCATATTTAGAATTGTTGATATTTTAAAAATTTGTGTGATGCAGTACTGAACTAAAGAATTGCCTATATTTAAAAGCCATTTTTATGTTTATTTAGAGTGACTGTGAAATCGGATACGATATGAAATATTAGTACTTGATATTTGAATATGCCTCATGAGTGATTTGCATGTGATTGAAATGTTATGAGCAAGATAATTGTGAGAGGGTGGGAATTTACTTTAGAGTTGTCAAGGGATATTGTAAGGTTTCACTCACCAATCCATAATCAATTCTAAAATTGAGGTAATAATGGGATTAACTCAAGTAAATTACTAAGTTTATAAAATTTATATGAATGAGATCCTAAGTTTTCAAAACTTAAAATTTTATAAATTATTTTATAAATGGAGCAAAACTTACATATGAAAATATGAACATTATAGAAGGTTAGATAACACTAAAGTTGGGTCAAAAAA